CAATGGATCCCCTCAACACCTAAACGGATCCCCTCAACACCTCGGCTGCGCCTAGAAATTCTGTCCATGAAAGTAATGAACAGAATCGGTGACAAAGGGCAGCCTTGGCGGAGTCCAACTCTCACCGGAAACGAGCCCGACTTACTGCCGGCAATGCGGACCAGACTCTGATACCGGTCGTACAAGGACCTGACAGCCCGTATCAAATGGCCCGGTACCCCATACTCCTGGAGAATCCCCCACAAGGCCCCCCTTGGGACACGGTCGAACGCCTTCTCCAAGTCCACAAAACACATGTAGACCGGTTAGATGAACTGAGAGCTGGTCCAGTGTTCCACGACCAGGACGAAAACCGCACTGCTCTTCCTGAATCCGTGGCTCGACTATCGGACAGACCCTCCTCTCCAGGACCCCTGAATATATATATATATAGTCTTTTATTTTTTATCTTATGGCAGATTATTTTTCACTTAATTTAAGAAATATGATGCTCTTCAGACAAGTGAAACAATCTACCAATGGAATAAGAACAATTGCACTTGATACAATTCTTGAACTAAGGGAAAATGTCCAAGGTAAAAAGGATAAATAATCTTGCATTCTGCTCTATTATACTCAAAACAGTGGACATAAGATGAAAAATACTTTGTTAGATGGACAGTTTTTCTAAGCTCCTGTGCAGATATCATAACACAACACTGGGACAAAAATACAAAAAAAGCAACATGCAAGATTTTGGAAAACATTCATTATGAAATCTATGATTCTACGAGCCTCTGCGTCTCAAGTAAGAGAGCTGAGACGCCCACAAAGTGTGAGACGCAGTCTAGAGACTCTCTGACGATCATTGTTCAGCAAGTCCCCAGCAGTTGCAGCTCTGTGAGATTCTACTTTAAGTCTCGTTGGATTGAAGATGATTGCTTCAGAAGTGTTGACCAGAGACACAGCTGGAAGGATTTTGTTCGCGCAGCACACACAAGACAATACATTCATCTATGTTTTATAAAAACAACGACTGCAGCCAAAGCAAATAATCACTGCTGCATGTTTAAGCATCTGTGCCGCAGACAGAGGCTAACAGTTAGCAGAGGCAGCAAAGACAAACACTTCATGATCAACAGTTAACTGGTCGTGGCAGCGATGCACTCCAGACCGCAGCACCGAACTCAGTTTGCAAGGCAAAGCCACGAGTAATTACAGTGGATTACACGGGATGAAGAGGAGGTGAGGCAGAGCCGAGGGAGGGGTTTGGGGTCAGGACAAAAGGCAGGAAGAGAAAACGCTGGCCAGCCAACAGAAGACGAGAGGCACGGCTGAAGATAAGGTGAGGAGCTCAGACAAAGCAGCCTGGGGATTTACTGGTCGGCTCAACCGCTGGGAAGCAAATATTAAAAAAAAACATCCCTGACTTCATGACAGCTGACACTCCTGAGCGTAATAATACCTGAAGCTCGTAGCAACAATTACAAGTGGCCGAACAAAACAGCCGAGGCGACCTTTTCATGGCATGAAGCTGCTCGATGCGCCGCCACTCACCGGCTTATCGGTGAAAGGGGTCGACTCGGAGGGGGCCATGTCATAATAGGGAGGCTGAAGAGGAAGCTTCTGCATCTCCTCCTCCTTGTCGAGATGAACCACCTGCAAGAAGAAGCACAAAGAGCTCAGCGTGGAAACCGCTACGTTTTTTGTTGCGGGCGTCGGTTCAAAGAAACGACAAATCAAAACATCATGTTAAGTGTTTTTGATTTCTTTTAGCTCACGTTAGTTTTATTTTCTTTTGGAGCTAATGAGCAGAAACTGACATCATTAATCTGACATCTGACTACATCTTGACTGCAGTTTAAACTTTGACTGCCAACGTTGAACTCTTTATGAACACCGGCGTTATTTTGTCCAATTAATCAGCCCCACATCACACAGACACATGATGCAAACTTCTGAAACCGCAGAGCGGGAACGCTGCAGCAAAGCTGGAAGAAAGCTTCACAACATTCGCAAAAGAGGTGTTTTTTCACACTTAAAGAGGAAATTTGATTAAAAGTTAGATTTGTCACACATTAGTTGGAGCTTGGTCAACAGTTTATTTTTTTCAAATGTAGATGACATGTTTTAAATCTAACATAATTCAGAACAAACAAGGATTTTCTTTGTACCATGAAAACAACAGAACATAAAAAGAACTTTTAATAACAGCACAAACTTGGAATCAATCTTATAATGAGTCATGTTGGCGTTTATTCAGATATTTTTATCAAACCAAAATTGTGTTGGAATTTGGATTCTTGCAAAAACAAAAATCCCTCAGAAAGGATCATTTTTTTTTATCAGTGTTTTGGACAAACAGTCTGTGAGATTAAAAACCAAACTGTTGTCCAGAACTCATGGACGCGGAAAGCTTTAATACAAAAAAATGCTTTAAAACAAACACTAAACTTGTTCAACAGATTATTTGCTTTAAGTAAAAAATGTGGCTTTAAGTCTATGAAATATACTGGTCTTTGTTTTTTTTTTAATGTCTAACTTTAAAAATGACATTGGAGAACATTAGATTTGGTGAGGATGCTTACACACAATCCTTTATATTTATGCCCCACCCCTGCAGTTTTTGTTTTGTTTATTTATTTTTATTTTATTTATTTTCAAGATTTTTGGTCAACTGTAGACGTGCCTAATCTTCACATGATCTACATCTCTAGCCCAGGGGTTCTCAAGCTATTTGGGTCTGGGGACCCCTTACAAGGGCAACAGGGACCCCCTCATAAACCCCATGTTGTTTTAAAAGACTAAAAGTCATTTCAACCCCAAATGCCATGGGAATATATATTTTTATTAAGTTTATTATGTTTGTTTTTATTAGTTCTTTGTTCTCCGTGCATTAAAAAATAAAAAACAAATGAACAATTTGGTGAAATTTTTGAAGGAGCCCCAAGATACCTCTCGCAGACTCCTGGGGGTCCTGGGGCCCCAGTTTGAGAACCTCTGCTCTAGCCAACGGTTTTACAATTGACCCCATTATTGGGGAGGGGGCTCGATCTGAAAAGTGGGGTGTCTGGACATACAAAATGCTTATAACTCAAAAACTATTTAACAAAGTAGCATCAGATTTTTATTTATTTATTTATTCATTTATTTATTTATTTGGCTTTAATGAAGGGCTATCCATTGGGCCCACCAACGAGCCCCCACCCACCCCCTCTGTACCCCCTGTTCTGATGACTGAGTTCTGTGCATTAGGGCTCTGCGTACATGTGGGGGTGGTATCGTTATTAGTTTAGTTGCCACACAGTTAAGGTCTTGTTTATGCTTGATAAAAAGCCCTGCAACACTCTCTACAATCTATATATTAATGTAGATTGTGGAAAATTTGGAGAAAACACTTTAAATATGAGAAAAAGTAAAAAGGATTGAAATGCTGCCATCATCTCCTGAGAGAAACTGGTTAACCATGGCACTGCTCCAGTCTTAAGTACCCATCAAATCGTTTTTTCCCACATCATCTAAATGCTCAACTGCACCCTCACCACGCTCTGTCAGCTGCACATTCCCAGTTAATATATATATATATATATAT